AGAACCATATGTTCTTTGTTGAACGCAGTTGCCTTATCTATTCCTTGATGTACAAGATCCTCCTTGATTGGGTTCTTGTCTACCTTAACAATCTCATTTCTTTCCATTTCTTACTATACTTTCTATACTCTAACTCCACTTAACCACTTTTAGTTTGGCAAATAAGATGTGGTACCTCACACTTCCTGCCTTTGCCTATAGTGTTATCTATGTTATCCAGCAAATGTGGACCCTCATAACTCATTTCAAATGTTTCCTCTTTGGTGCTAGTTTTATTATATTATTATTATTATATATTTTATTATTATATTCCTATTCTTCACCCCTTCCTGGAACTCTGCACTTTGCCATGTAAAACTTCAGTGCCCCCACCCCATTCTGACTCAGCTTGGCCATGTGTCTTGCTTTGACCAACAGGATGTTAGCAAATGTGATATAGCAAGGGCTTGAAAAGTTTGTGCAATTGGGCTGTCTGCTCTGACCATTAAAAGAACATTCCTCAGTTAGCCTACTGCAGGATGAGACAGATGGTGCTAAGTCAGGTTGCCCCAGTCATCCCAGCCAAGGCAATGCTAGGTCAGCCAAATGCAATCCGACCCCTAGACACAGAAGCGACCCCAATCAATATGAGCAGAACTGCTTACATAGTCCGCTAATGTGAGTAACACCAGCAGAGGTCAGATCAGCTGAACCCACTCTCAAGTTGAATACTGTTGATGTTTGTTGTTTATTATGGTGTATTACTGTAGCGACAGGTAACTCATATGGACTTCCCTGACTCTCCAAGGAAAAGTGATCACTCTTGCATTTTTGCAACCTCTGAATCTTGTACCTTTCTCTGTTACAAAACGTAACGCATATTACTATTATAAATATTTATAAATGAATAATATGATTACTTGTTTTTATGTCTAGTTGTCCTTCTAGGACTGACCTTCTTGAGAACAACATCTTTGTGAGGGAGCTGAGGTGATATAGTCAGAATAGCTTGGGCATACCTATTAGTACAATCATTATGGAAAACAGTATGATGGTTCCTCAAAAACTTAAAATTTGAACTATCATATGATATAACAATCCTGCTTCTGAGGATATAGCCATAGGAGATTAAATCAGGATTGCAAAGAGATATCTGCACACCCATGTTAATTGCAGCATTATTTACAACAGCCAAGATATGGAAACAACTTAAGTGTCCACTGATAGATGAATGGATAAAGGAGATGTGGTATATATTTACATGGAATATTATTCAGCCACAGGAAAGAAAGAAATCCTGCCATTTCCCAAAACATAGGTAGACCTTGAGGGCATTATGCTAAGTGAGGTAAGTCAGACAAAGACAAATACTGTATGATACCACTTATATGTGGAATCTTTTTTAAAAAACTCAGTTGTAAAAACAGAGAACAGAATGATCATTACCAGGGGCTAGGGGTATTGGAGATGTTTTTTGAGGGGTACGAACTTGCAACTAGTATATAAATAAGTCCTGGAGCTCTCATGTACAACACAGGGATTATAGTAAAAAAGATATTATAAACTTAAAAGTTGCTAAGAGACTAGATCTTAACTGTTTTCAACACACACACACACACACAAAATAATAACTATGTGAGGTGATAGAGGTGTTAGCCAAGGCTACTGTAGTAATCATATTGCAATATGTAAATGTATCAAACCAACAGGTTGTGCACCTCAAACTTACACAATGTCATATATCAGTTATTTCTCAATTAAAAAAAAAAATTAGTGTGTGCATACCTTAGTTAGAATCATAGCTGTGCAATTGGCAAACTTTCTGAGACTGAGTGTCTTAGCTGTAAAATGAGGACAGTGGCAGCAACTTTGCAGCATTCTCGAGAAGATAAAATGAAGAAATCTGTATAAAGTAGCCAACCAGTTCAATGTATGACACTCATCAAAGGGCTCAATAGATCGAAGGAATTAATGAGCTGATACTTTCACGGCAAAATTCTTAGAATGAGCATACCAAAAATAGAAGGTCCTTTGTCTCATTACCAGTTCCTAACGCCACACCAGCTGCCCGGGGCATTCTGTAGCCTCTAATTCCATTTATTACTATGGAAGCTAATGTTTCAATTTACTGACCTAGATTGTACAATAAATAAAAGTACCTCAGAGGATCATCTTTGCAATTTAACATCAACACGGCTGTTAAATGCAGTTTATTTAATCTCTTATCTAAAACAAAAGTTGCAGTTTGGCACATAAATCTGCTCTTTCTGCAGCTCTTCTGAGACATGTGGCCTGTGCTTATTTGCTGGTCTTGGGCAGGCTCGGTAGCCTCGTTAGTAGGCTACACTCCTGCACAATTAAGAAACAGTTTCACAAACTATATAAATGTCTAACCAATGTGCTGTATACTTGAAACTAATAATAAAATAAAATAAAAAGCTAAAAAGCAAAAATAGGTACTCACCTCTCTGGAGGCAGGTAACCCTCTTCCACAGCTGCTGCAACAGTAAAAGGCAGAATGAAAAAGAGCTGTTAGCAGCAGCTTGATTAAAGCTAATTATGTTTGTGCAATGACCTGACCCCTGGGGAAAAAATGTGGAATGGCAACTCACCTGTGCCCCAAGCCTCCCCTTCTCCTGGCACCCAGAGGAACCTGTCCTGTATTACAACCCTTGCCTACACTTCATGGTGCTTAATCATGAGTATTAATCTCCTGTATTAGATATTGACCTCCTGGAGCACCAGCATTTCTGTTGGGTCTCTCTCGATCTCTTGCGTCTATCACAGGGCCTGGCAAATAGAGTGTAACTGCTTGACACATGCTTAAAATAACGATAACATTCATTTATTGAGCATTTACTGGTGTGTCAGGAAGTTTCGTCTTTCCATGCCTCATCTCATTCATTTATCCTCACAATAATCCTATGAGTTGAGTGTTATTATCATCCACATTTACAGGCAAGGACAACGAGGCTCAGTGAATAATATGCCCCAATTTAAATACTAGTGAGTGGGGAAGCTGGGATTTACAAAGCCTGTTTTATTACAAAACATTTAATACTTTGTTCTATGTTTTCTGACAACCCTCTTCCCTTTCAGAGAGATGGCCTAAAATATTTAATGTTTATAAAAAACATATTTTGTCTTCTCTGATATGAAGGTGGCCATGTTATTAAAGTATACTTACAAGAGCTCTATTTCTCTATATAGAATTTTCCAGTTTTAGTAAATATGCTACTGAAGTAAGCATTACATAGAATTCTCTTTTAGATAAGACTTAAGATGACTTATAGCAATTGTTTTCCAAATGTGGTCCCTGGACCAGCAGAATCCCCTGGGAACTTGTTAAAAAGGCAAATTCTCAGCCCTCCAATTCAGACTAACTGAATCAGAAACTCTGGAATTGGGGTCCAGCAATCGAAGTTTTAACAAGATTTTGATGCATGCTAAAGTTTGAGAACCACTGAATTAAAGCAGTCAAATGAGCAATCAATGAACTAAGATTGAGCTCTCTTAGTATACCACCTGCTGGCACTCATGGCCACAGTAAAACAAATGTTAGCACAGCACTGTATATCACTTTAAAGTGCGGGTTCACCTCATGTTTCATTAAAGCAAACAGAAGCAAAGGTGTTTAAAATGTCAACAGGATCAGAATGTAGTGGGGGTAGAAAGGGGATGAGAAGGTATTTCTTTACCTAGCAGAGGAAGACACAATAGCACAGAAAAATGGCTTCCAAGAAAGCTCCCGTTCCTAGAAAGAACCATGGGGGACAGGGGTAGGAGTCCTTCATTTAATTATTGAAGGCAGATCACGGAGGCCTGAGGGACCCTCGTGTATCACAGGTCAAGTTCACACCGACTTCCTCCCTTTGCACTCCCTCCCCCTCTTCTATTGCACCAGATCTGTTGACAACACAGGCTTTATAGGAAACACAAAGGCTCTCTGCCTCCCTGCCCTGCTCCTTTCTGTTTTCTTCCTCTTGGACAGATTCCCAGTGATCAAATGCAATGCTCTGAGCAGGCTGGCTCAGCAGCGATAAAGGGCCAAGAAGTCCCACAGATTTGTCATTTCACAGGCAAGCTGCCACGGCCTCTATGTGAGAATAAGCAGTGATGGATGTCCAGCCCCACGTGAAAGCAGTTCAGTATTGTCACCTGGGAACTGAAACAGAGAGGGAGGTGACTGGGGGATACAGGCGCTGGGGCCGTGACTCCTGCTGGTTGGCTGGCTGCGTGTGGGGCCCTGTGCATTTCTTTACCTTCCTTGCAGGTCTTGGGAACACCTGTCTGCCTCTGGAAGGCCTGGAGGTTCACAGCTGGGGGCTTCGGTGGCTTTGCAGGAGGAGGACCCAGAGAATCCATGGAAGGCAGTGGCTTCGTTTTGGCAAGTTGGTGATGCTTGACATCTGCCTGTTTTTCTGAGCACAAACAATCTAAAATGTAGGTTATTATTATTTCCATTTCATGGCTTAGCAGGTGAAACTGACTGGTTTCCTTGCTTTAGTCTCACTCTCTTCCAATCTATCCTCCACCCCATAGCCAGAGTGTCCAGATCAAAAGGCAAACCTGATCTTGTCACCATCCTGCTGCTCAGAAAGAATGAAGCCCAATTTCCTCAGCATGACATTCGTTCACTCCCTTCTCTGGCATTTAAACGGCACATGGCCTTAATTGACATTTCTGGATTCTTTTCTAATATTTTACCATTTTACTTCCTCGACTTGAAGCCCAAACATCTTTTGCTCACACTACTGACACCTCAGTTCCCCAGATTTGATTTTAAAAGCCTTAAAAAGGCATTTATCCAAGATGTTGTTCATGCCATTCCCGGTTCTAGAATGCTGTTCCCTCACTTCTCTCTTGCCCAACTTTCCCTCTTTAAGGCCCTACTCCAATGATACCTCCTCTAGAAAGCTCTTCTTGATTTCTACCAGAAATCAAGGACAGAATCAACCACTCTGTTTTATATTTCCATCACACACTGTTAACACCTCTCCAGCGAGATATATTAGAAGCGTACGTCTATCTTCACACTGAATGTAGGCTCCTTGTGGGCAGAGACCGGGCCATACTGATCTCTGAGCACCAAGCACAGGGCCTGCTTCAGAGGAAATGGACAGTGACTATTCCCTGAAAGAGTTCTTCAGGCACTTATGACGAGCAAATAACATCAGTGCTATAAAGAGGAGTAAGAACTGATCTCTGATTTCCAGGGCTCTGCCTAGGACAGGCTTCAAGGCTTACTTTGGTACATGGGAACCTGTGGATTTTGAGTCCCTCCAGGACAGTCTCTATTTCATATATTGTATCCTTCTGCACTAATAAGCCAAACTCCAACAGAAATTCCAATATTACATATGAAAATAGTATCTGACTCTTACACTGAAAATATCATAAAACCATACATTACCCAAGTGCCCGAATTTTCGGTTTACATAATATAGTGGTTGACCGCATGATAAAACTAAAGTTGGCTAGTGTTTCCCAAATACCCCAGTGCGACCTTCTCACAGCCCTGCTGACCTCTGCAAGAAGGGAAGGGGGCTTCCTTCTTCTTCTCCCATCCCAAAGGGGTGGAACCAGCTTGGTATATCTCAGCAATGATGAGAAGGCCGATGTGAGGAGAGAGTAGAGTGTAAGAAAGGTAGGCAAGGACCAAATCACATGAGTACTTTAAGATGGCTGGAGTTGAACTTGAGCAGGAGACTGATGTGATATAACATATGCTTTAGAGGATCACTGCACCTGCTAGGAGGAGAATAGAATAGAAAAGGGCAAGAGTATGGAAGCCAGAAGACCAGTCGAGTCCTTGTTGTGGTCCAGATGAGAGAAGATGGTGGCATGGACATGGGCAAAGAGTAGAAATGGACAGAACTGAAGGGATTCAGAATGCAATCTGGCGGTAGAAGCAAGAGCTTGCTGATGGATTGGATTCAAAGAATGAAACGGAGAGGAATAGAGCATGGCTCCTAGGTTTTGGCCTGAGCAACCAGAAGGATGGTTGTGCTGTTTATCAAGACAGGGAAGATTTCATATAATTTACAGGAGAGCATACCAGGCTCTACGAAGTTAGATGTCCCAAATTCATGTATCTTATAAGATGTAGAGCTAGAATTCAAATCCAAGTTTGCACGAACTGTCTCAAAATATAATTCCAGGAGATTAATCGCTTTACCAAAATCTACAATTACAAGTCAGCAGATGGGCCTAGAAACCTGTGTTGGAGTTTGGAGCAAACATTGCCAAGGTCACATATGTGACCTTCCCAAGTCAGCAAACTTTAACTCAGAAAAAAAAAATTAACTCTACCCCTAGAACTGTGGGGATTAGATTTCTTACCTGGGGCCTGGCTGCTGAGCTCCTGCTCATAGATAGGCTGGCAGGCATTCGCTGTTGGGGTCCTCTCAGGATTGGGGTGCTCTAGGCTCTTCCTTTCATGTTGAGCAAGTAGAAAAGTGGGAACTTCAGAGGCGGCACGTAATTTTCTTTGGGCCATCAAATGCCTCTTGGAGGGAAGAGTCTGGGTTCCTTTTATTTCTAGCTTTTTCCTGGGCTCCTCTGGAGAAAGTCCCATGCTTTTCTGTTCTTCCAGGTGGAAGATGCTACTGCCACAACTGGCAAGGGGAAAGCCTGATGACATCTCATTTTTCTGAGATGAAACCTTCTCCCAGTTCCAGAGCTTGTCTCTGAAGCTACTTGTCACAATTTCTTCCTTACTGGTAGTCTTAGCATTTAACTGATCCATGTTTAAAAGCTGAGAAGCCGTCTGTGAATTTACTGCAGAGCCATTAGACCTTCCTGGAGGTGTTAGAGAATTAGAACATTTATGACTCTCACTCTTCTGGGCAAACTTCATTTTCTGGGGTTTAAGAGGCTGGGGTTCACCACTGGAACAATATGGTGGGAGCTGACTATAGTTAGATGAGAAGGGTTTCCCATTGGCCAAAGTCCTTGTTGTCTGTGTGCTTCTAACATTACCCTTTTGAGAAACACCTGCTGAGATTTTAATAGGTCCTGGAAGAGATGGTACATCGAGATTTTGAAATTTAGCTCGGAGTTCCTTGAAATTTCTTAATCTTTCCTAAAGCATAAAAAGAAATAGAAATGTCTCATTATTTTAGGAAAAAAGCAGCATAATTAGCTGACTTCACTGTGCACACTAAGGGGCCCTAAGTGCTGATGTAAAGCCATCATTCACCCATTGAGCTATATCAGCCAGCAATGCCATTGTCTATGTGAGATGGAATAAAAACAATTATTTCCTCTTTGAAACACTTCAGATATGTTTAATTTCTTTGCATATATAAAGAACTCTTATAAAAGAGATAGTATTTATTGATAATAAACCCCTCGATACAAACTTATTTGTATAGGCAAGCTCCCTCCTGCTAATACAAATAAGTTCTAAACCCCTTAGTTTGACCTTCAAGGTTCTTCACAATGTGGTAGACTTATGATCTCCAGCCACAGCCCAGCAAATACCCTTAAACCAAATAGGATTATTTACAGTTTTCCTAGAAACTTTGTACTCTCTACCACCTTGACTTTACTCGTGTGTTCTTGCTTCACAAAATAAATCAACTGCTTTCTTGTAACTTCAACGCCCACCTTCTTAATTCCCCTGGGGATGACAGCACTGACTTCTTCCATGCCTCCTTGGTACTTCCACAGCAATTTATACTTTGCTGTTCAACTTAACACCATTGAGTGGAGAAAAGAAAAAACTTTGGTACTAGACAAGTTTTTGTTCAAATTCTGAGTCTGCTCTTTATCATCTAGGCAGATATTTTAGGAAACTTGGTGCAGTCTCATTATAAAAATAAATTGCCAAGTGGTAGAAGGATGAGGGCTACCACATGTAAAGTGTTCGTCACAGTGTCTGACACACAGTAGTAAGCCTATGATAGATGAAAGCTATTTGTAAGAGGCTAGAGGATACTCTTATATTTTTTATTCCCCTTGGGAGATTGTGTTCTTCCTTCTAAATTTGGCTCAAATTCATTATATGAAAATAATGGTAGGAATAGCAGCTCGACCCTTGGGGCGGAGGAAGGGATGTGCCCAGGATGGTACAGTGAGTTGGTGGTCTAAGACGGTAGAATTAGACTTGACTCCTGCTTGGTGCTCTTGCTACTGCTCCCCCCATTCTCTCACTAGACCTAATTTATTTTTGACAAGTGCACTTTGTTATCCTTTGTCTTCAAAAGGAAGAAAGGGATGGAGGTAGAGTGTGTGAGAATGTTTAATGAAGCCATTTCAAAAAGTAAGAGCCACTATCTTCTCCTGATCATTGAGGGGCTTAATTTTAGGTACACAGATAATCTCCATGCTAGTGACTTCTGATTTTGCAAGCTGAGGGAATGTTGGGTGACCTTTTCTCACCATGTTCACAGTTGACTCATGCCTGCTCTCTGAAGATTTAGGAAGGGAGAAAACTTGAACAAGAAACATAAAGCAGATGTCTGGGAGCTTGCTTACATGTTTAGCTCCCACTTCTCTCCCTCTTTTTCATGCTGTCTCTCTTTCACAGACACCCACACACACACCCATGTACACATTTATAGCTTTCTTTGTAAATTACCAAGGGTTGATTTCTTATATTTCAACCAGCAGTCAAATTAATTCCATTATACTTCCTCTCTCCAGATGAGGTAGAACCAGATCTGAGTATGAAGTTTAGCTTTGCCACTTTCTAGTTGTGTGTCTTAGATAGCTCACTTAACTACTCTGAGCCTTGTTTTCCTCACTATAAAATGGGATAATTCTACTAACAGTTAAGGGTTATTGTAAGGATCAAATGAGATAGTAGAAATACATCCTCAGTAGTTAATTTTTTTTTTGAATTGTGGTAACATAAACAAAACTTAAAATTTACCACCTTAACTATTTTCAGTTAAGTGCACAAGTCAGTAGTGTTAAGTGCATCCACATTGTTGACAAAGTCTAGAACTCTTCATCTTGTGAAACTGGAGTTCTATACTCATTAAACAACTATCTGTTCCCCCTCCCTCCAGCCCCTGGCAACCACCATTCTATTTTCTGTCACTATAAACTTGACTATTCTAGGTGCTTCATAAAAGTGGAATCATATGTATTTGTCCCTTTTGTGATTAGCTAATTTTAGTTAGCATATTGTCCTTAAGGTTCATCCATGGGATAGCATATTGCAACCTCTTCTTTCTTTTTAAGGCTGAATAATATTCACTGTATGTGTATACCACATTTAGTTTACCCATTTATCCACTAATAGACACTTGGGGTGCTTCCACCTTTTAGTTATTGCGAATAATATTGCTAAAAATATGGATGTACAAAATATATCTTTAAGACCCTGCTTTTAATTCTTTTGGTTATATCCAAGACGGGCAATTGCTGGATCATATATGGTAATTCTATTTTTAATTTTTTTGAGAAATCACCATTACATTTTCCACAGTTACTGCAGCATTTTACATTCTAAACTGGCACATGGGTTCCAATTTTTCTACATCCTTGCAACACTTTTTTTTTATGGTAGCCATCCTAATAAGTGTGAGGTGGTCAGTGGTTAATATTTTTTTTAAAATATAATGATAATTATTTTTAGCTCTTTACTATATGAAGCACAGAGAGTCCCAAAGAGGAGGAATCCAAAAAAGCCCACACTAAGACACATCATAATTAAAATGCCAAAGGTTAAAGACAAAGAGAGAAACTTTAAATTAGCAAGAAAAACGCAATCACATACAAAGGCGCTCTCAGAAGACTGTCAGCTGATTTCTCAACTGAAAATTTGCAGGCCAGAAGAAATAGGCACAAAATATTCAAACTGATGAAAAGCAAGAACCTGCAACCGAGATTACTCTACCCAGCGAGACTATAATTTAGGATTGAAGAAGCGATAAAGAGCTTCCTAGACAAGAAAAAGCTGAAGGCATTTATCACCACTAAACTAATCTTACAAGAAATATTTAAGGGCTTCTTTAAGTAGAAAATAAAAGATCAAAAATATGAATAAGAAAATACGGAAAAGAAAAAATCTCTCTGATAAAGGCAAACACTTAGTAAAAGCAGTGGATCAATGTACTATAAAGCTGGTACAAAGGTCAAAAGGCAAAAGTTGGAAGATGTGTAATTACAATAATAAATTAAGGGATACACACAAATGCAAAACAAGTAAAAAATAACAACAAAAGCATCAACGTGGAGGGGTGAGTAAAATTGTGATTTTAGAATGTGTTTGAGCTTAAGCAACTATCAATTTAAAATAGACTGCTCTAAACATAGCTTGGTATATATGAAGCATATGGTAACCACAAATCAAAAATCTATTAGAGATATACAAGAAATAAAGAGAAAAGAATCCAAATATGACACTATCAACAGTCACAAATGTACAAGAGAGGGCAGCAAGAGAATAAGAAAAGAGAACTACAAAACAATCAGAAAGTAGAAATAATTACATACTTATCAATAATTAATTTAAATGTAAATGTACTAAATGTTCCAGTCAAAAGACATAGGGTGGCTGAATAGATTTAAAACAAAATAAAACAAGGTTTATACATATGCTGCCTGCAAGAGACCCATTTCAGACCAAAAGACGCACACAGAGACTGAAAGTAAAGGGGTGAAAAAAGATGTTTCATGCAAATGGAAACAAACAAAACAAGCTGGGGTAGCAATATTTATATCAGACAACATAGACTTTAAAACAAGGGCTGTAACAAGAAACAAAGAAGGGCATTTTATAATGATAAAGGGATCAATCCAACAAGACATAACTCTCATAAACATCTATGCACCCAACGTAGGAGCACCTAAAAATGTAAAGCAAATATTGACCAACATAAAGGGAGAGATTGACAGTAATATAGTCATAGTAACAGACTTTAACACCCTATTGACACCGCTAGACAAATCTTTCAAACAGAAAATCAACAAGGAAACAGTGGCCTTAAATGACACACAAGACAAGATGGATTTAACAGGTATTTTTAAAGCATTTTACCTCAAGCAGTAGAGTATACATTCTTCTCAAGTGCACATGGAACATTCTCCGAGATTGACCACATGTTAGGCCACAAAACATGCCTCAGGAAATTTAAGAAGACTGGAATCATATCAAGTATCTTTACCAACCACAGTGGTATAAAACCAGAAATCAATTACAAGAAAAAAACTGAAAAAGAAACACGTGGAGGCTAAATAACATGCTACTAAACAATGAATGGGTCAACAATGAGATCAAGGAAGAAATCAAAAGATACCTTGAGACAAATGAAAATAAAAACACAAAATCTATGGGACACAGTAAAAACAGTCCTAAGAGGAACATTCATAGCAATACAAGCTTACCTCAAGAAACAAACAAACAAAAATCTCAGATAATAGTCTAACCTTACACTTAAAGGAACCATAGAAAGAACAGCAAACAAATCCCAAAATGAGTAGAAGGAAGGAAATAATAAAGATTAGAATGGAAATAAATGAAATAGAGTAAAAAAAAAAAAATAGTAGGTCAATAAAACAAAGAGCAGGTTCTTTGAAAAGATAAACAAAATTGATAAACTTTTAACCAGACTCATCAAGAAAAAAGAGAGAGGGCTCAAATAAATAAAATCAGAAATTAAGAGAAATAAAAACCAAACACCACAGAAATACAAAGGATTATCAGGAAATACTGTGAACAATTATATGCTAACAAATTGGACAACCTGGAAGAAATGAATAAACTTCTAGAAATATACAATCTCCCAAGATGGAATCAGGAAGAAAGAGAAAATCCAAACAAAAAGCTATTAATGAAGTTAAATTAGTAATCAAAAAATTTTCAACAAACAAAAGCTCTGGGCCAGATGGCTTCATAGGTGAGTTTTACCAAACATTCAAAGAATTAATACCTATCTCTCAAATAAATCCAAAAAACTGAAAAAGAAGGAAGGCTCCCAAGCTTATTTTACAAGTTCAGTATTCCCTGATACCCAAACCAGACAAAAACACTACAAAAAAAATTATAGGGCAATATCTTTGACGAATATAGATGCAAAAATCCTCAAAAAATATTAGCAAACCAAATTTAGCAATACGTTAAAAAAAGCATACACCATG